TTTAATCATAGTTAATTTTGAAAAAATTGGTTGGGTAAAGTTTGAGCGAGATTCAGAGTTTGTATTAAAGTAATATTTAAAATAAAATAGTTAAAAATAATTAGATGTAAAAGTAATAGAGATTTGATTGGAAGTGATGAGTAGTTAAAATTATGTGAATGGATAAATAGTGAATTAAAGTTGATGTGATGTGTAGAAATGATAAATTGGTATTATTTAATAATATAATATTGAAGATAGTGGAATTGAGTTAAATTTGAGTTGGAATTGGATTTTTTGGGGTTTATTTTTTTTTTTAAATAAACATGCATGCACTTACGGTGTGATTGGATATTTTGGTTTTGATTTGCATTTTTTATTAACCATAATTAATTTTGAAAAAAGTTAGTTGGATTAGGTTTGAGTGAGATTTTGAGTTTTTATTAAAATAATATTTAAAGTAAAATGATTAAAGTTGATTTGATGTAAAAGTAGGAGAGATGTGATTGGAAGCAATGAGTAGTTAAAATTATGTGAGTGGATGAATAGTAAATTAAAGTTGATGTGATGTGTAAGGATTATTGATTGATATTATTTAATTATACTGATATTATTGAGGAGAGTTGGGTTGAGTTTAAATTTGAGTTATATTTTGAGTTAAAAGAAGTGATTGATTAAAAGTGATTGGATATTTGAATTTTGATTTATATCCAAGCACAACCTTATGGTTTGTGGGTATAAATTAAAATTATGAAAATGGGGCGCATGAGAAAATTGCAGTTTTGTAGTTTCCGATTTACNACTCGGAAGTAAAATCCAGACAACTAACCTGCAAGCAGACTTCGGAATCTACGTCTTGCTCAAACACTCCAAGTGAAATGACGGGCAATGAAGTGAGGACAACATTGAACATCAGCATATACCAATCGACATACACCGACTGTCCAGAAAAGCCAGCAAAGGCTTCGAAATAGAAGATTGTAAGGCCGAATGCGATGTTTTTGTAGAAGAAATAACATATCTGCATTATGAACAATTGGAAAAAAAAAAATAATCAGGATGTAAGTTTTTCATTTGTCTACTGTCTACTGTATGTCACTGAATGGTCTTCTGAGAGTATATGTAAGTTCGAAATCATATGAAAAATTACCATCTGAGCAATTCTTTTGTAACACCAATGGCCATGCACGACCAAAAGTCGCTCGAGAAACCGAAACTGTGCAATAGCAAAGTCACTAGCCATCACAGCCTGCAAACAGCTGATAATTAGTTAGCCAGTTTCGGATAGAATAAAAGCTGTATGTGCTCACAAAGAGATATTGAGAAAACTGTACGTTAAACCAAGTCTACAAAAGGTGAATACAGTTCTCGAAAACCCAATTTTACAGACTTGGGAATTCAAAATTTTCCAGCAAGATGTAATTCCATAAATCTATAAAAAAGAAAGGAGGTAGTCTGCAGTTTGTGATAGACTTTAAAATTTTCTCAAAATTTCAGTTAAAATCATAAAGTACTCAAGTTGGATCAGTCATCGAACTTTAGGGTCAGGAATATACAAAATTTGAAATAACAAAGGAAATCTAAACTTATCAATCCTTTCACTTACAAGACAATGTGCTGAACTAAAATATTAGGATAAAGTTGTAACACAACCCCTACAGAAAATTTTTGAAATAAATTACTGAGCCAAGAATCACGTGCAGTCATCAAGTAAAAGGTTGAGAAGAAGAATCATAGAAAAATCCTTCAACGTATTAAATGACATAAAAATTACTGAAATGGTACAGATTTACCAACCTGCATGCCTTCACACCCGCTAATGCCAACACCAATATCTGCTTCTTGGATCATCCCTACATCATTTGCACCATCACCAATTGCTAACGTGGTTTTCTTAGTTCCTTCTTTCACTAATCTTGTTACCTGGTTACCAAATAGCATATGTGTGAAATGTGTTCATGGCTTCATGCAGAAATTATCATAGAAAAAAAAAAGCCAAAATAACCAATTATCTTTTGAAATACAAGTATAATTTAAGGTTTATATTTATTTCAACAAATACCCCTCTCATCTTGAGAGTATAAGTTCTTTAAATTAGAAGAAAATAAAATGGGGTATTTGCCATTTATGAAAATATTGGCTCTATTTGTTTTATTCTTTTTCAGGTGAATTGAAATTTGAAATTAAACATGCTTCATGTAATCAAACCAACAAAAAGTTTCTAACCAGAGCTTTCTGCTTGGGTGAGACACGGCAGCATATGACAGAAGCGCAATCAATTGCCAAATTCAAAAATTGATGCTTCATGTCTTCCTCTAAGGCATAAGTTAGAGTTTTCCCATCAATGATCAAAGCAAATGCAGCAAGCGGATCCTTTTCTAGCTTCACCATTTGAGTTGCGTTCGTGATTTGCATCAATATATTCTCCTTCACAGCCTAAGCAAGAGAATAAATAAATAAATAAATCAAACTGATTTCTATAAACTAGTGTATATCCCGTGTGATGCACGGAAGAGTTCATATTTTAAACATTTTTTAGACTTTATTTTAAATATAATTATTTATATTTTTCACATCTCGTCTATTATGAAAATAAAATAAATACAATCAATGAAAAATATATAATATTAAATACTTTTCTTTATACAATATTTTTTATTTAAGAAATATTATTAAACCTTACGGTTTTGATTTGTTTTTTTAAATCAATAATCCAAAATATATGATTGTTAACGTACAAAAAATAATGGAAATAATCCAGACTTTAAAGTAGAGCTATTTTTTATTATTTTACAAATAAAAATCTTCCAAATTTTTTTTAATTTCAAAAAAAATTTGGCAAGTTTGATAATGAGTTAAATCAAGTTATACAAATAATTAAATAGTTAAAATGTTATATTAATTATATTTTAAGAAATCCGATTATATAAAAATGGGTAAAAAAATATTATACTAATTAGTTTGTTAGGATTGTGATTATATGAAAGTTAAAATAAAATGAAATGTAACCAAAAAATTAGTTCGTGGTTTTTTCCTAAATGTTTGAATTTAAAAATCTAGTAACCAAATTTACATTATATCACGTAAGGAAAAAAATAAATAATAAATATTTATTAAAGAGATAAATCAATAATATTTATCACTTAGATAATAAATAATAAATATTTACATGTAAAAAAATAAATAATAATATATTTAAAAATATAAGTCAGAATTTCAAATAAAGTAAAAGGAGGGATAACTCATTTGTTAAAAAAAGTTTCTAAATATTTAATATATTGATAAGTATCTCCATAAGAATAATCATACCATTTTAATTTTAAAAAAATTGACAAGTTTGTTAGAGAGATAAATCCGGTTAGACAAATGATTAATTTGTTAAGATATTATATTAATTGTATCATAAAAAATCGGTTAGATAATGTAGATAAAAAAATATAATACTAATTAGTTTGTTAGAAATATGATAATGAAAACCAAGATAAAATGAAATTTACCTAAAAAAATTGTTTGGAATCTTTTCCTTTAAATGTTTGAATTTACAAATTTAATACCGAAATTCTATTATATCACATAAGGAAAAAATAAATAATAAACGTTCATTAATATATTAAAATATGTAATTTTGAATTTCATATAAAGTAAAAGGTATGTTTATTCAAATTTATTTTTAAAATAAAAGTTATGATAAACATTTATTGATTCTCTTTCAAATATATTAATAAAATAAAAATATAAATCTAAACAAATTTTGAAACAACCAAAAAAATCGGATTGATTGGCATAAAAAAGGAAGTGAAATCGGATTTGAATGCTAAAATCGGAACACCTTACCAAATTGAATGCTAAAAGATTCGATTTGATTGGTTACCTAATTGCATGGGCTGAAAAAATTCAAAAAAAAAATTTACGAATTGAAGAAGCGGGAAAACACTATATTGAAGCGGGAAAACGAAATGATTATTTTCGAATTGTTCAAATAATTTTTCTTCTCCGTATTATATAGTAATAGATTTGTAAAAAAATATTCCGCATTTGTTTTCTATAAACAGTCTCACCTGCTTGGGATCCTGGACAACTAATGCATCTGTATTCATTGTTGTTATACATATCTGCTTCATGCCCTGTCGAAGTAAACTACAAGCAAATCTGCATAACGATAAGAAATGCAGTTTAGCATCTCGAACGCTTCTGATCATTAATTTGTCATACATCAAGAA